TCCGCGTGATTCCGGCCTCTAGCCCCGGTCCTGACAAATTGTTAATCTCATTCTTGAACCACGAAATGCCTCGGCCGCCATTCCTGGCCCCGTTCCCGTTCCCGTTCCGCCGCCCCGGTGCACGCCGCGACGCGACGCGACGCCCGGCGACTTCTCCTTGGGAACCAGGCCAGTTTCGCGAAAAAACTTGCGTACTCCTTTTCCAGGACGCCACGCGTTTATTGATAGAGCTGGTTCCAGGGAAAGCGATTCTTTCGGCGTCTACGCGCCGCGGGGACTTTCGTTTCTGTGGGAACATAGGCGGACGGATCGTTGAAAAATTCTTGGCTACGGTTTCGTGTTACGGGGATTTTTGACTCGTGGAAATTGTGCGAGTTTCTGGGCTTGTGCTGGGGCTTGGAAAATGCGCGGGGGATGAAGAAATTGGAGGTTAGGGTTTAGGAGTGTTCTCGATATTTTTGAGTTTAGCAGGAGTTTTTGTTTTTTGTTGGATGTTCACTTTTGGAAGTTTGGGATTTATGAGTATTTGTTGTCTGTGAGGTTCATGTGGGTTTGTTTTTAATTGTTTTTCGAGGAGGTATTAGGTTTCTTTTGTTTCATCGCCATTTTAAAAGCGCGTTGGATTTAGTAGGAATACATAGCTGTGTTCGGTGGATTAAAATGATCCATTTACGATTAATTGTTTCCTCCTTGCTGGAATCATAAAGATCGTACAGGTTGGTAAGCTTTTTGCGACGTCACAGATTAGTCACTTTTAGTGTCCAGTATTTCCAGTGTTAAATTATTCATACGTCGATCTATAATATTTCCCATGTTCTGTAAGTCAATATTGCCCGCGCAAAAACTGGACAAGAACTTATGACTCAGTTTAGTATAATTTATTACTCTTTCTCCAAACGATGTGCTGTAAATACCCTTATTCCCGTATCCAAACGAGACAAACAAATTCCCATAAGAATTCTTAAGAATCCCTCTAGCGAAAAGCGACTCCCACAGGATCCACTGTAGCAATGCTAATTTGTCCGGGTAAAATACCAATTAGGAAGAGGCGCACGGGAACGTCGCTTCCGCGGACAACAAGAAAACTCCTGTCCCATCATTCTTATCGATCCCTGGCATCGTCAATCAATAATACAACACTCGTGCTCTGACAGTCTTAAGTATGTACTTATCGTTTATCATAAATGTACAGAAACAAAATTATTTCACGATACACTGAAACCCCTGAAGCAAACAGTTATATAAACGGGACCACATTTCGCTAACATCAACTTCATTGCAACTCTGTAAATCAACCTTCAACTTAACAGCCACAACCATCAGACATAATATTCAAAAACATTACACCCACAAAATTCAGAACAAAAGATCCTCATCTTAACCGAACAAGAAACAGAACCTACCCTATAAAACCCTATCAAACCATCATCCAAATACCAATACCTTGGCAAACCTCAGCAAACCACAATACCTCTATCCACAAAACCCAAACTCCAAGCACAGTC